CATATGAAACGAAAACGAATTTAAGATCTAACATGTTTTGTATTATGTAAAATAAAGAAACTAATTTTCAAAGTCTACTAATGTGAAGAATTTCATTTATATGTTCCTTTTAAGTAACTATTTGACTAATTACTCCGTAGATGCTTTAAAATGGCTGGTCGGGGGGAAAAATACTAAATAAATAGGTCTAAATGCGTTCTCTGGCCTTCCAAAAGTTATAATACGGCAAAATGATGGTCGAGTTCTGCTTGCAATGTCCAGTTTTGAGCACTGAAATCTCTGGGAAGCTCCGCGTAAATATAGCGCAGATCTATTTAAATATGTCACGTGGTTGTTTCGAAAATGAGGCAGTGAAGATAACAACAATAGCACACCGCCATGTGCCATGTCGGACTCAACTAGCGGACAAGACAGCAATACTATACGTAAATAATTGTTTTCAAAGGTCATGTATGATGCAAGTGTAGTATTCCTACCTATATGTTGTTGTTATATATAACGGTATTGATACCTCGTGCCTGTCATGACGTTTGCATGCATCTTTTTCTTTCTCCGCGATGTTTACATTTGGCCTTGTTAATGACGCGCGTGCGGTAAAGTTACATCACTGATCTGGGTCAATTGAGAGTTTTAGACTGTCAGGTGACGATTTAGGATTTCTTTAATATAATCATGATTTTTACTCTAAGGGAGTTTTGAATCGGTATATTTCATATGAAGGTATTTTAAACATGTGTATGCCATCTTAGCAAATATGACATTTTTCCCCCGATCAGCCCCTTTAAGCAGATTGATATCAGGAAAGTCTTAAAATCTACTAATATTTGTATTTGATTTAATTTCAAAACTGTTAATGCCTTCATCAATCTAATTAAAATTATATCTTCACATCGCTCCTGTTTACTGATATGTCGCGTTTAAGATCTAACAACATCCCGTAGAGGGTCACGTCAGTGGTCAACATGAATGCATTATCGTATTTATAACAAGCCAATCAAAACGCGACATAACTCTTTCTTTAAACCAATCAGAAAGCAGGACCTGTAGCATTTAATGCAGACACCTCGTAGCCTTTTTCGTCTGGTCCAGTGATTGTTTGAATATTGCGAAGCCTGTCATTGGTTAATTTTAGTTTCAGGTTGTTAAACTTTTAAACGACAACATCACCAGAAGAGGAAGTCTCTCTTATTTCAAAGCAAAATCCACAAATTGTACAAACTTGTGTCACAGACACGAACTGACAAAATAGGCTACGCATACTTATTTTTAACCCACACATGCGCGTACATACATATATTTCAGGCAGCTCATCAGCATTGTCGCTGATAAACAAAGAAACTCTTCGTCTGACCGGTTCTCCTTTACACTGAAGTGACTTGCACAGGCCTAGCTTTCGTGAAGCCGACGGTTGTTTTCTTGTTGAAAAAGTGACAAACACATATTGAAATTGGTTGACATTTGAGTCATACATGAAAATCGTCTGTGATGAGTTCAAAGATGGTAATATTCATTCCAAACTATTGTTGATTATTTGATATCGGAAATATCCTCTCACAGGCATCACGGTGAAGTTTTCTGTTTTGGTCTTCTTCAACCAATCAGAATGTGGCAAATTTTGAAGCCCGCGATTTTCAAACCGCAAATATATTTATTGCGAAACCGGATTTGTCAAAAACGACGATAAATTTATTTTTTAAACCCGGTTTAAGGAAGAAACACATCAAACCATAACGAATACGTTTGCAAAGTTTACGTAAATAAAATACGACCGTTCTGCCAATGTAAAGGAAAAAGCTGTATTTCATGTTGATAGAAAGAGTAAAAATTTCATAAGAGTTATTTCTCTTTGACCATTGGTCTTAGGTCCACGACTCTTGGACTCTGAAAAATATTTGATAAAACATTTATGTATTTATCTTTCTGATTCTTTCATTGCTAGGAGTTCATTAATTAATGTTACTTTGATCTTACTTTCATTAAGCTCTTTTCTTAATTCTTTCCTTTCTTCTTTGTGTTTGTGACAGGAACAAACAAATGATCTATTGTTTCGTTTGCATTACAATTAAGACAGGTTGGTGATCTATTTTTATTCAGAGCACTTATGTTGTCATTACGTTTGGTTTTACCTAATCTCAGTCTTATTACTATATTGTAACATCTACGAGTTTGCTATGGCCATATCATTTAGTTTTTTTAATTGGTTCTTTTATTATATTACGTAGTACATTGTTTTCCCCTACTTCGTTCCATGTTTTTATCCATTTCTTATCTATGGCTTTGTTTATTAGGGAGTAAGTCTCTTCTTTAGATAAATTGACTTCACATTGAATTGTTTCTTGTTTTAGTGCCTGTTTGACTAATTTATCGGCTTTTTCAATCCCTGGAATGTCTACATGGGCTGATACATATTCAAATTTAACGGGAATTCCTTGATTTTTAAGTGATTGTACTGAATATAAAATAGAATTAAGTACGGTCGTTCTTGTACTGTTTTTGGTTTACGGTTTCTTGTTCAGGGTTTTCCTGGTTAATAATTCTAAGTGCTAGACCTATGGTTATTAATTCGCTTGTATATACAGAACAGTTGTCTGTTAGTCTTACCGATATCGCTATATTATTTTCTGATGAATAATTCCCTAGTCCTAATCTATAGTTTTCAGGGTTTGTTTACCCGTCCGTATAGTATTTAGCTAGGTTTTTGTATTTATCATCGATAATAGATAATGTTATGGCCTTAGCTGCTATTGGGTTTTCTTTTTTATTTGTCGCGTTCAAAATATCTGTACTAATATCTAGTTGGTCTAGTAACCATGGTGGTGTTTGATTAGGAGATATTTCGTCTATTTGAATGTTCTCTAATTTGTGTTATTTTATTAAATCATTAGTCACTTGAATAAATGGTGGTTTTTTATGATCATTTAATTTATTTCTATATTTAGTGTCCTTGGCGTCTTGTACTATTTTACTGGGCGGGAAGTCTGTTCCTAACGTTTGTGTTCTAGCCCAGTATTGGAGAATTAATTTCTCTCTTCTTAACTTTAGGGTTAATTCACCGTATTCTGCTAGCAGACTGATTGATGGGATATTTTTAATTGCTCCCAGTGCTATTCTTAAGGTTTCATGTTGGATTATGTTAAGGGTAATAAGTGCATTGTCGGAGGCTGAGTAATATATTTGGCATCCGTAATCTATTTTCGACCTAATTAGAGCTTAATAGAGTGTGCGAAGTGTGTTTTTATTTTATCCTAATTTATATCCGGATACGAATACTAGTGCGTTTAGTGGCCTTTTTACAGCTTTCTTTCATATTATTAATATGTGGGATCCATGAACGTTTCTGATCGAATATCATTCCTAGGTATCTCGTTTGTTTTACATATTGAATGTTTTTATTACCTAGATGGGATCTGGTTGTTTATTTCTTCTAGAAATTGACATGGCTACCGTTTATTCTTTAGAGATTTTGAAGCCCCATTTATCAGCCCATTCTTGAATGGAATCAAGTGTTCTCCGAATTATTATACCATTATATGTTATGTTCATACCGCTATTCCAGATGTTGGTGTCGTCATCAAAGTTACTTATTCGCGCGTGGATTTTATTGTAACTTTTGAGTAATAAATGAGTCAGTTGGACTGTCACCAAGCATAATAGGATGCTAAGTGGGTATTTCTGTATTTTATATTATCTATGTCTCCATATGCATATTGAACAAAAGGCCAAAGCGGTAGTCATTTCAATTTTAAAACCGGGAAAGGATAAAGAAGTTCCGGCATCCTACAGACCAATCAGCAAACCTGTGTAAAACACTAGAAACCATGATAAATAACAAATTAAAATACCACACTACTAATAAAAAATCTTATAAGCGAAAATCGAAGCGGTTTCATAAATCACAGATCTACCATAGATTCCCTAGTTAGAATAACGTCCGAAATACAAAAAAATACGCTAAGTAAAAACCATCATACCTTAGCCGTGTTCCGAGATCTTGAAAAAGCATATGATCTTATCTGGAACGAGGGGCGACTAAAGTCACTTAAAGAAGTAGGTAAAACAGGCAACAACCTAAAGTTTATTACCCATTTTATTTTTTGCAGGATAGAAAAATTCGAGTAAGGATAAATAATACCCTATCAGATGAACATACATTAGAAAACGGAGTACCACAATATAGCGTAATCTCACCAACTCTATTTAATATCACCAACTCTATTTAATATATATATGAATAAGCTAGACTCTCATTTAAAACTCAAAAGTTACAATAAAATCCACCCGCGAATAGGTCAATTTGTTGACGACACCAGCATCTGGAAAAGCAGTATGTACATAACAGATAAATCATTTTCGACATTCTTAATTATCTAACCCTTTCACTGAATATTATTTGAAAATCTAGATGCAGATGCTTGAGCACAGTATTAGTCAATTTCAATGATAACTGACAATGCTGACATTATTGCGCCTTTCAAATCCCATCACGTGGGCTTAAATTTCCAACAATCTTGTCTAATGCATGTGCCTGTACCGTACTGTAGAGATACAAGTAACCTTTTACATTTTTAAGATCCATAATTGACTAATTGAATCCCATGCTTATTAATTTATTAAACACTACTATACATGTAGTATAACCAGACAAAGAGACAGTTTATTTAGTTACATTAGGGTATCCATTTAATAATATTAGAGTACCCATTTAGTCACATTTTTCTCCGTTATCGCTGGCCGATTTTTTTCTATGACAACACTGTATAATTACACAAATGTATTCTTACAATTTGACTCGAAACTCAAAAACAAAACGTTTACTCGATACCAAAAAAAGGACTCGAAAATCGAAACCTAGAATTTGATTTAAAATTAGAAAAAGTTTATTTAAAATCTGAAAAATGCAAAAATCGTACTCGAAAACGATCACTCGAAACTCGAACCTCGACAAAAAGTATTCATCTCAATTGACAGTCAGGGGTTAAAGCCGTTCATATTTTTTTTTATGTCATTTGGATCACACAGATAACAAAGAGCTTCGATCTTTTTATTTAAAAGTTTAATTAAATGCGATACAAATGAGATATAATATGATGATCACAGTTATATTCCTTTAATGGCAAGGAGCTTGAATGGCCTACGTCTTCATATGACCTGAGCTGTTGCGAGGGTGTTAAACCGATTAAAATGTCATAAAGGCGGTAACATATATTGTAATATCAGCACCTGCTCTGGGAAGAAAACCATACACATATATAATATTATATACACTTTTGAAGGGAAGAAGAGCAATAATAAGAAACTTTAATAGATGACTTTTCCTATTTCATTTTCCTATTTGACTTCTTGCATTGTATATTATTTATAAATGAATAATCATTATGATTTATTTTATATGAGTTAATCATTTTTTAAATTATTATTAAAGCAGTAAATCAGAACGTTATATCAAAACACCAGCATATAGGTATATACATCGTTAAACCCAAGGCTTATGGACATCATTGAACCTCAGACTCAAAGGCATCATTAAACCGCAAGCTCACGGACATCATTAAACGCAGGCTGAAAGACATCATTGAAACCAAATATTCACACCGTTTTGCGCACATTGCAGTAACGAGTGATTGTTTTATGAATAGTTGTAGCTCCGTCTATTCAAAAAGTAAATATGGTGATTGTGTTTCAATTGAGCAAATCAGTTTTTGAATGAATTATTTTATACTAAATCCGTTGGTGTTTTACAGATTTGAGTGCGTTCACTTCCACGAAGCCAAGTGTCAATGTCCCTGTAAAGCCGTGTGTGTTTCTTCATAAGGACAAGATCGTGGATACGTCTACACAGTTCACAGAAACCAACCCGCGCGTTGGAGTCTCTGTCAACAAAGTAGGAACGGGTCCATTTAAAATAGGTTGCTGCTTCTGTTTCGTTTTTGGATAAACGCCACATATCTTCCGCTAGTTCTTTGGTAGAATGATATTTAGATGTATCTAGATATGACTTTGGGGGAAAAAAGAGTTCGTATTGCGTTCGTCCACGGCCGACCGGTATCGCGTTCGAATTACGCCAATATATTTTAAACATTTTTTCCGTAACATAATCTTTACAGAATGAATTCTCAAAAGCCAGATAAAACTTATAATTTCGTATTTTATCATGACAACTCCCCCATTTAGACTTTGGACACTTTAGATTCCCACAACCACCATAGATATCAACACCATAGAACGAGTTCAATTTTTTCATGTATGATAACCTTTTGCTGGCCACTCCACAATGGGACACAAATATGATTGATTTGTTATAACGTGAATTCCAAGTAGATGATATATTGATAGGTTTCTTAGTTTCAGGGAGAAGGTGAAACCTGCCATACGTATGAAGTATGTCTGTATCTCTCCTGTAACCTAGCGTCCAATTAAACACATTTTTCCACATTTTCAATTTTTTCGATGGCGGATGGTAGCTTGGTGATTCCATAGAAAAAAATACCCATAGTTGTCCCGGATATTTTCTCAGCGGTTTTTCATCAAACAAACCTGGTCCTTGAAACACAATCACTGCATTTCTGTCCTTTGAAAACCCATCTTTCACATGGCATTTATGTTTGCAGTGACTAAATGGATTTCCAATATCAGATTGTTTTTTGTAGAAATAAACTGGAATGGATTCTTCCTGCTTAGACGAATTTTTCTGCTGAGAGTCACTGGAAAACAAAGTTGTCGTTGTTTTGTGTTTAAAACGATTTAAGATAGTTCCCCCATCTGCAGCGTAAAACATCCAGCCAATTCCAAAACCGATGATGATTAATACAGTGAAAACTTTAAATCTGAAAAGAAAAAAATATATCAGTTTAAAAATATACTTATTCTGAATATTTCTTGGATATTATATTTCTGCTGTACTTATTGTATGTCACATCTTTAAAAAGAAAATCCAATATCAAAATAAAATGCTTAGCATTCATTTCAATCGAGTAATAATATATTGCTTAACATTAATTATTGTAAGGAAACGTGATATAAGGAGTTTATATACGACACGAAATGATTGGAACTGGTTTATCTAATTATGTATTGTGCACAGGTTGAGAGGTTGACCCCAAACACATTTATGTAATGCTATTCTTAAGTATTAATATACAAGCAATGTAATGAGGCTAACATGTTGTGAATTAAAAGGAATTAATCCACAGATCGAATAAATGGATGTGGGAGGGAGATTTGGTAAAACACAACGAATCAAATACGAATTTAGTCATACTCTAAGTGACGGGACTAGAAACTGTTTGTGGGTAATCAGGATGTCGAGGTATACCGATGTGTTACAGTTGACTTGGTGTTCTAGCTCACTGGCCTTTTAATATTTGAGTACGCATGTTTTGTGCAATGACAGACCGGCAAGCACACTGTGTGATTGAGAAGCGTGGTAACATTGACGTGCCAGAAATTAAACTTGAATGTCAAAGAAGGTACAGGGCTATAATCAATTGAGAAACGATGATTCATTTTAGGACGGAAAAAAGAGTAGCTGTTTTGTGAATTCTATTACTTTTTTTTCAATCTTTCGAATCCGATTTCTTTACAAATCTTATCAAGGTATAGTGGGGTTTTGGTTTGATTTGTGTGTGTGTATCGTCCTTTTCACAGCTATGGTCATGTAAGGACGTACCAGGTTTTGAAACTGGAGGAAAGCCGACGTTCCCGGAGAAAAAACACCGACCTGGGGACTGTCCCACGTAGGTCTCGAACCGCGACCCAGTGGTGGAGGGCTAGTGGTAACAGATTGTCGGACGCCTTAACCACTTGGCCAACGTGGTTCAGGGCGATGATTTGTAGGAATGTCTTCACACTTACACTCAAAAGATTATCAACAAGATTTCTTCTCTTGAAAAAGGACGTTTTGAGAAACTGCATTTAATGTGATAGATATGACTAGGTTTCGATCATATATAAGTATACACGGGGGATGGGGAGAGGATCGTCCTCGCGAGGTTTGATCAACATGATTTAACAGCTTGGAAACAAAAGATTATGTCAAATATATTCAGGAATATCATTTCCAAAAGAAAGAGCTGAAAGTAGGAGAAACGATAAAATTCCTTCTTATTCAGCTACATGCAAGATCAGATTCATGATAAGTGCTATAGTTATACATTTAAGCAATAATATGAGGTACAAGCTGGAAAAGACAATCAAATGAGAAACGATGATTCATTTTGAGAAGGAAAAACAATCATTTTTTTAAATTGTATTACTTAATATTACGCATCTGGTTTCTATATCAATCTTATCAATGTTTGTTAGTTTAATGCAAAATTCTAGATTTTTTCTAAATGACTGCTCATTACGTATACATTACCTAAATCAATCCAGACGACATCGGCATACTCTCAAAAACGTCTGATAAACGTGAGGTTTTATCTCTGCAAGTTTCTTTTTCTATCAATGATATATTGAACTTTACGTAACATATGTAGCTTGATCGTCGCCTTTTTGATGACACAAAATACAATCTGTAAGCAGGGCAACGTCTATATGTTTGTGAAAGTTCAATTATTCTATGTGGATGTTACACTTTATCAAAATATAGTTAGTTAGGGGATTAGTCTACTGTTAACAAAACGTTTTTTTCTAATAGATCTTACTTTGTTGTTATCATACAATATTTGGTAGATTATTATTTTGTTGTTTCTCATAGAATTTCTGGTACATGTACAATTTATTATCTTTTTGTTTCTTTAGAATTTCTAGTAGATGTTTGTTTTGTTGTCATCATAGAACTTATGGTACATTTGAGTTTGTTATTATTATAGAATTTCTAATAGTTATTTTGTTTGTTGTTATCATAGAATTTTAGGCAGACTTTCAGTTTGTTGTTATCATAGAAATTCTGGTAGATTTTTAGTTTGATGTTATCATAGAATTTCAGGTAGATTTTATTTTTTTGTTACTTAGCTTAGAGATTTCTGGTAGTTTTTAGTGTGTTGTTTTTTAGGGTCTCTGGTAGACTTTAAGTATCTGGCTATTAGAGTTACCGTACCATTGATATTAGGCATGGGCCATTAGCATCTGTTAAGACAGGGGTATAAAACACAAATCAGCAATGATATAGCCCATCTGCATCTATTAAAAGGAGAAGCTTATAAGCAGCAACTAAAAAGATAATATATATATAAATGTACATAAGACGCTATAAGAACAACTCTCTCTGTGTAAAATCAAATTACCTATTAAGCGTAGTCCACTTCATTTTCGGATGTTGTATCTGGAATATTACTCAAGACATCGACACTGAAAAACAATTTTTTAAAAATTCATTTCATTTTCACTTGCCGGCTAAACAATAAGCTATATTAAACAAAATAAAAATAACGAATAAATTAATACCGAAAAAAGTAATGAATAAAAATAAACTTAAGTTGTAATTTATGGAAAGATTTCCAGAACATTAACCTGCAATATCATCGCGTAAGAAACGACGTAATAGAACTCTGTGAGGATATACACAAACGACGTAACAGTACTCTGTGAGGATATACATAAACGACGTAACAGTACTCTGTGTTGATATACACAAACGACGTAACATTTCTCTGTTAGGATATACACAAACGACGTTACAGCACTCTGTGATGATATACACAAACGACGTTACAGCACTCTGTGAGGATATAAACAAACGACGTAACAGTACTCTGTGAGGATATCCACAAACGACGTGAAAGTTCTCTGTAAGGATATAAACAAACGACGAAACAGTACTCTATAAGGATTTAAACAAACGACGAAACAGTACTCTATAAGGATTTATACAAACGACGTAACAGTACTCTGTGAGGACATACACAAACGACGTAACAGTACTCTGTGTTGATATATACAAACGATGTAACAGTACCCTGTAAGGATATAACCAAACGACGTAACAGTAAACTGTGAAGATATACACAAATGATGTAACAGTAATTTGTGTGACGACATACACAGACGACGTAACATTACTCAGTGTAAGGATATACACAAACAACGTGACAGGACTCTGTAAGGATATACACAAACAACGTGACAGGACTCTGTAAGGATATACACAAACAACGTGACAGTACTCTGTAAGGATATCAACACAGAGTACTTTTACGTCGTTTGTGTATGGCCTCACAGAGTACTGTTTCGTCGTTTGTATAAATCATCACAGAGAAATGTTACGTCGTTTGTTTATATCCTGACAGTGTACTGTCACGTCGTTTGTTTATATCCTCAAAAAGTACTGTCACGTCGTTTGTTTGTATCCTCACATAGTAATGTTACGTCGTTGGTATAGATCCTCACAGAGTACTGTCACCTCGTTTGTGTATATCCTTACAGAGTCCTGTCACGTTGTTTGTGTGTATCCTTAAAGAGTACTGTCACGTTGTTAGTACTGTTACGTCGTTTGTATATATCCTCACAGAGTACTGCTACGTCGTTTGTGTATGGCCTCACAGAGTACTGTTACGTCGTTTCTATAAATCCTTATAGAGTGCTGTTACATCGTTTGTGTATGTCCACACAGTGTACTGTCACGTCGTTTGTGTATACCTTCACAGTGTACTGTTACGTCGTTTGTATAAATCATCACAGAGAACTGTTCCGTCCTTTGTGTAAATCCTCAAAGAGTACTGTTACGTCGTGTGTGTAAATCCTCACAGAGTTCTGTTACGTCGTTTGTATATATCCTCACAGAGTACTATCACGTCGTTTGTGTATTTCTTCACAAAGAACTGCTACGTCGTTAGTGTATATCCTCACACAGAGTAATGTCACGTCGTTTGTTTATATCCTGACAGTGTACTGTCACGTCGTTTGTTTATATCCTCCCAAAGTACTGTTTCGTCGATTGTGTATATCTTCACAGGGTACTGTTACGTCGTTTCTATAAATCCTTATAGAGTGCTGTTACATCGTTTGTGGATATCAACACAGAGTACTGTTATATCGTTTGTGTATAACAATACAGAGTACTTTTACGTCGTTTGTGTGTGTCCTCACAGAGTACTGTTTCGTCGATTGTGTATATCCTCACAATGTACTGTTACGTCGTTTCTATAAATCCTTATAGAGTAATGTTACGTCGTCTTTGTATGTCGTCACACAAATTACTGTTACATCATTTGTGTATGTCCTCACAGAGGACTGTTACGTTGTTAGTGTAAATCCTCACAGAGACCTGTTACGTCGTTTGTGTCAATCCACACAGAGTACTGTTACCTCGTTTGTGTAAATCCTCACAGAGCACTGTTACGTCGTTTGTATATATCCTCACAGAGTAATGTTAAGTCGTCTGTGTATGTCGTCACACAAATTACTGTTACATCATTTGTGTATGTCCTCACAGGGTACTGTTACGTCGTTTGGGATATACTCACAGAGAACTGTTACGCTGTTTGTGTAAATCCTCACAGCGTAATGTCAGGTCGTTTGTGTATATCCACACAGAGTACTGTTTCGTCGTTTGTGTATATACTCACAGAGTGCTGTTTCGTCGTTTGTGTAAATCATCACAGAGAAATGTTACGTCGTTTGTTTTTATCCTTACAGGGCACTGTTACATCGTTTGTTTATATCCTGACAGTGTACTGTCACGTCGTTTGTTTATATCATCATAGAGTAATGTTACGTCGTTGGTATAGATCCTCACAGAGTACTGCTACGTCGTTTGTGTATGGCCTCACAGAGTACTGTTACGTCGTGTGTGTAAATCCTCACAGAGACCTGTTACGTCGTTTGTGCTATACTCACAGAGAACTGTTACGCTGTTTGTGTAAATCCTCCCAGAGTACTGTTACGTTGTGTGTGTAAATCCTCACAGCGTAATGTTACGTCGTTTGTATCAATCCTTATAGAGTAATGTTTCGTCGTTTGTTTAAATCCTTATAGAGTACTGTTTCGTCGTTTGTATAAATCCACACAGAGTACTGTTTCGTCGATTGTGTATATCTTCACAGAGTACTGTCACGTCGTTTGTTTGTATCCTCACATAGTAATGTTACGTCGGTTGTGTACATCAACACAGAACACTGTTATATCGTTTGTATATATCAACACAGAGAACTGTTACGTCGCTCGTGTAAATCCTCACAGAGACCTGTTACGTCGTTTGTGATATACTCACAGAGTAATGTTACGTCATTTGTGTAAATCCTCACAGTGAACTGTTACGTTGTTTGTGTAAATACTCACAGCGTAATGTTACGTTGTTTGAGTAAATCCTCACAGAGACCTGTTACGTCGTTTGTGCTATACTCACAGAGAACTGTTACACAAACAACGTAACAGTTCTCTGTGATGATTTACACAAACAACGTAACAGTTCTCTGTGAGGATTTACACTAACAACGTAACAGTACTCTGTGTGGATTTACACAAACGACGTAACAGTACTCTGTGAGGATTTACACAAACGACGTAACAGTTCTCTGTGATGATTTACACAAACAGCGTAACAGTTCTCTGTGAGAATTTACACTAACAACGTAACAGTACTCTGTGAGGATTTACACAAACGACGTAACATTACTCTGTGAGGATTTACACAAACGACGTAACAGTACTCTGTGTGGATTTACACAAACGACGTAACAGTACTCTGTGAGGATTTACACAAACGACGTAACAGTTCACTGTGAGGATTTACACTAACAACGTAACAGTACTCTGTGAGGATTTACACTAACAACGTAACAGTTCTCTGTGTAGATATACACAAACAACGTAACAGTTCACTGTGAGGATTTCCACAAACGACGTAACAGTACTCTATGAGGATTTACACAAACAACGTAACAGTCCTCTGTGAAGATATACACAAACAACGTAACAGTACTCTGGGAGTATATCACAAACGACGTAACAGTTCTCTGTGATGATTTACACAAACAGCGTAACAGTTGACTGTGAGGATTTACACTAACAACGTAACACTCCTCTGTGTAGATATACACAAACAACGTAACATACACACAAACAACGTGACAGTACTCTGTAAGGATATACACAAACAGTGTAACATTACTCTGTGAGGATATACACTAACGACGTAATGGTACTCTGTGTTGATGTACACAAACGACTTGACATTACTCTGTGTGATGATATACCCAAACGACGTAACATTACTATGTGAGGATATACACAAACAACGAAACATTACTCTTTAAGGATATACACAAACAACGTGACAGTACTCTTTAAGGATGCAAACAAACGACGTGACAGTACTCTGTGAGGATATTACTCTGTGAGGATTTACACTAACAATGTAACAGTCCTCTGTGTAGATATACACAAACGACGTAACAGTACTCTGTAAGGATATAAACAAACGACGTAACAGTTCTCTGTGAGGATTTACACTAACAACGTAACACTCCTCTGTGTAGATATACACAAACAACGTAACAGTACTCTGGGAGTATATCACAAACGACGTAACAGTACTATGTGAGGATATACACAAACGACGAAACAGCACTCTGTGAGGATATACACAAACGACGAAACAGTACTCTGTGAGGATATAAACAAACGACGTAACAGTACGCTGTGAGGATATACACAAACGACGTAACATTACTCTGTAAGGATATATACAAACGACGTAACATTGCTCAGTGTAAGGATATACACAAACGACGTGACATTACTCTCTAAGCATATACACAAACAGTGTAACATTACTCTCTGAGGATATACACTAACGACGTAAGCTCTGTGTTGATATATACAAACGATGTTACAGTACTCTGTGTTGATATACACAAACGATGTAACAGTACTCTGTAAGGATATAAACAAACGACGTAACAGTACTCTGTGAGGATTTATACTAACAACGTAACAGTTCTCTGTGAGTATATCACAAACGACGTAACAGTGCTCTGTGAGGATATACACAAACGACGAAACAGCACTCTGTGAGGATATACACAAACGACGTAACAGTTCTCTGTGATGATTTACACAAACGACGTAACAGTACTCTGTAAGGATATAAACAAACGACGTAACAGTACGCTGTGAGGATATACACAAACGACGTAACAGTTCTCTGGGATGATTTACACAAACATCGTAACAGTTCGCTGTGAGAGTTTACACTAACAACGTAACAGTACTCTGTGAGGATATACACAAACGACGTGACAGTACTCTGTGAGGATTTACACAAACAGCGTAACAGTTCTCTGTGAGAATTTACACTAACAACGTAACAGTACTCTGTGAGCATATCACAAACGACGTAACAGAACTCT